CAATAGATTTCTTGCTTCTGCCACAAATTCCCCCAGCTGTGAGCCTTCCAACCTTCTAAATATTCCTTTATATGTGGTTCAGAGTTCTGGGACCAGCCCCTGAGCCTGCTTGGTTGGGTATTCTGTGTTGTTGTTGGTGGAGCTCCTTTACTGCACATCCTCCCGATCCGCCATCTTGTTTGTTCCTCCGTGAGCAGTATTCTTGATATAAACTGTTTAGATATGCATATATAAGCTTCACTGAGAACCCTACCTAAGACAATCACTAACAGAGGGACTCCATGACATTCAAAACCCAAACCATACCCACTGCCATTGAGTCCATTTCAATTCCCAGAGATCCTATGGGACAGAGCAGAACTACCACCAGGGTTTCCAAGGCTGTGCCCACAAATTGTTCCTGGGAAATCTTATACAGGGTGGCTATGAGTTGGAACCAACTCAGTGACACTTAAAAATAACAACAACTTTTATGTAAGCAGATTGCATCATTTTCGCCTACAGAACAGCTGGTGTATTCAAACCTCCAACCTTTTGGTTAATAGCCACGTAGTCTGACCACTGCATAACAAGGCTCCTTAACCTGGCACTATGGTTAGGTGAAATCCAGTTAGTTCCGACTCATAAGGATCCTATGCACAACAGAATGAAACTGTTATGTGCCAGCCTCACAACTGTAACTTTTGAGCCTTTGTTGCTACCATTGCATCAAACCATCTACTTCGTGGTCTTCCTTTTTCCCTGATCCTCTATATTTTACCAAGTATGATGTCCTTACCCAGGGACCAGTCCCTCTTGATAACATGTCTGAAGTTTGAGAGGCCATGTCTCACCATTATGGTTTCTAAGGAGAATTCTGGCAGCACTTCTTTCAAGACAGATTTGTTCGGTCTTCTGGCAGCCTACGGTACTTTAATATTATTCTCCAACACCATAATCCTAAGGCATTGATTCTTCTACAATCTTCCTTATTCACTGACAACGTTCACATGCGTAAGACAACTGAAAATACCATGGATCAAGTTAGTTGCACCTGATAAGTTTCTCAAAATGGTATCTTTTCTCCACTTACCATAATGTTAACTATTGACCTATTGTGAGGATTTACACTGGAATACACTGTATACTGAAGGCTGTAGTTGTTGGTCTACATCAGTATTTTAAGTCCTCTTCTCTTCCAGTGAGTAAGTTTGTTATCATCTGCATATCATAGGTTGTTCTTGAGTCTTCCTCCAATCCTGATGCCATGCAGTCTTCCTATAATCCAGTTTCTTGGATTATTTGCTCAGCATACAGATGAGTAAGAATGGTGACAGCATACAACACTAGGGCCACTTTACCTGATTTTAAGCCACTTGGTATGCCCTTGTCCTGTTCAGATGGCTGCCTCTTGGTCAATGTACACAATTAGGAATTCTGAACTACTCATTCTTCACAATGTTATGAGTTTGTAAGGATGCATGCAGTCGAAAGCTTCTGCATAGTCAATACATCAAATAAACATCCTTCTGGTATTCTGTGCTTTCACTCAAGATCCATCTAATGTCAGCAGTGATATTCCCTCATTCCAAGCACTCCTCTGAATTCTGCTTGAATTTCTGGCAGTTCCTTGTTAATGCACTGTAGGAATTGTTGTAGTATTATCTTCATCAAAATTTTACTTGCAGGTGATATTAATGATATCTTTAGATGATTTTTACATTCCATAGTGTTACCTCTCTTGGAATGGGCACAAATCAGTTGGCAAAGTAGATGTCTTCCAAATTTCTTGACATAGATAAGTGAATGCCTCCAGTGTTGCATCAGTTTGTGAAATATTTTGATTTGTAGTCTGTCTTTCCAAGAGTCTTGGTTTTTGACCATTGCTTTCACACAGCTTAGATTTATTCCTTCATGTGCTACCTCTTGAAATAGTTGAACATCAACCATTTCATTTTGTTATAGTGACTCTGTGTGTTCCTTCCGTCTTCATTTAATACTGTCTGCATCATTCAATACTTTGCCCATAAAATTCTTCCATATAGCAAGTTGAAGCCTGACTCAGTTCTTTCAGCTTGAGAAATGCTGAGTATGTTTTTGCCTTTTGATTTTCTAACTCCACGTCTTTACACATTTCATTACAATATTTGACTCTTCTTCAGCTGCCCTTTGAGATTTTCTGTTCAGCTCTTTATTTCCTCATTTCTTCCATTTGATCTAGCTTTTCTTTGCAAGATTCAGTCTCTTCTGACATCCATTTAGGTCTTTTCTTTCTTTTCTGTTTTTTTAAAGACGTTTTAGTTTCTTTCTATATGATGTTCTTGATGTCATCTCACAACAATTCTGGTCTTCAGTCATTAGTCTCAAATCTGTTCCTGAAAAGAGCTCTTAATTCAGGTGTAATATATTCAAGGTAATATTTTGGTGGCGCTGTAAGATAATGCGCAGGACCGCTAAATCTATTTGAACCACAAGGTCAGTGGGTCAAACCTACCAGCCTCAGAAACCCTATACAGGGTCGCCATGAGTCAGAACCTACTCAACACCATACAACAACAAAAATAACAACAGACTTGTTTTAATTGTCTTCTGCTTCACTCTGAACTTGCATGTGAGCAAGTGATGGTCTGTTCCAGGATAAGGCCCTCTCCTCATCTTGGCTGATGATACTGAGCTTCTCTAGTCTATCCCCACAGTCAATTTTTAATAAGGATTCCACCTCGCGCGATCTGTGTGTGCAGCCGCCTTTTATGTTGTTTAACTCCCATCATCAGTAATTATCAACCCATATTGATGGCATGTTTGCTCAATTTCAGACTGAAGAAGTTGGTGAAATTCGTCAGTTTCATCATCACTTTATTGGTTGCATGTAAATTTGAATAATAGTGGTATTATAAGGTCTTCCTCATAAGCATAAGGATACTATCCTATCACAAACAGCACTTTCCTTCTGATGATGAATGTGACTCACACCTTTCCTTTTCAATTTATCATTCCCAGCACAGTAAACCATAAAACTGTCTGAGCCAAAATAGCCAATCCTTGTTTTTTAATTTCAGCTCACTAGTACCTAACGATCTTAATGCATTCCATTTCATCTTTTACTTCCATTTTACCTAGTTTCAGACTTTGTACATTTTATGTTCTGATTATTAACGGATGTCTATAGCTGTTTCTCATTTTGAGTTGCATCCCATCAGCAAATAAATGTCCTAAAAGCTTTACTCCCTGCACATCATCACAGTCAACTGTACTTTGAGAAGGGCAGCTCGTCCCCAGTTGTATTTTGTGTCTTCCAACCTGAAGGGCTCATCTTCCTGCATTATATCTGACAATATTCAGCTGCTATTCATGTTTTCAGTGGCTCCTTCTTCCTTGTGTGTCTTAGTCTGGCAGCTCCTCTGAAACCAGTACACCATGGATGGCCCTGCTGGGATTTAAAGTACCAGGAGTCCTGGTGTGGCGCTGTGGGTTAATGTACCAGGCTGCAAAGCTGTCTGAATTACAAGGTCGGCAGTTCAAGTTCGCCAGCTGTTCCTCGGAAACCCTATACAGGGTCGCTGTGGGTCGTAACCAACTCGACATCACATCACAACAATGACAGTACAGCTTCCAGCAACACAGCAATGTGTAGCCACCACAGTACAATAAACTGATAGAAGAATAGTGGCTAGGGTTGTTTCTCTTGTTTGTTGTTGTTGTTATTAAATGCTATACTGTTGGTTATGACTCATCGTGACCCTGTATAGGGTTTATAAGTAGCAGGTGGTGGTCTGAACTGTTGACCTTGGAGTTGATAGTTCATTGCTTATGCTACAGTGCCACATCAGGACTCCAAGTGCCTTTTGGTGGATGTGATATTCAGTATAAAGCGTGATTGCAAATATTCTTGTCAGAAAATGTTTATTCTAAATCCATTCATGTCTTTTAACTTAACTTATAGTTTATAAGTGATACTGAAACAAGTTTTAAAAAGATAAGAAAACAGATGAGACCAGAACATGAGACAATCTACAAAACAAGAAACTAGGACTCCTCAATAAAGGCATTATTATGAAAAGGGAAAAATATAAAAATAAAAAAAAAAAACAGTGTGGGTGTCTATAGAGTACTATTCTAAATTTAAAAAGACTTATCAACCAAATATAAGGCGTGTACTTTGACTGCATTCGGAATAAATGATAAAGTTATAAAGAATATTTTATAATAATGTATAACATCTAAAAGGCAATCAATGTTTGCTGCATGTTTTGTTGTGTTATTAAGTGCTGTCAAGTCAGTCCCGATCCACAGCAACTCTGTACAGGGTTTCTGAGGAGGAGCTGGTGAATCTGTAATGGCAACCTTGTGTTTCAAACCAACTTTGCAATCCAGCGCACTAACCCCCAGCACCACACCAGGACTCCCTTGCTGAATGAACCAATGAAAAAACCTTAAGCTTAGAAAAGGTAAGTTACTCACTCAAGGTCACATATCAGCCTGAAAGCACGTCTAACTTCAAAACCTTGTTCCTTCGACAAGATGATGCCACCTCTCTGCATCTACTCCACTGACAGTCATCTTTGCTAACCTAATGACAAATTTTTCAAAATTCGTTCCTACTGCAACCTTCCACCAGCTGCTCCATGGAAGAAAGATGAGGCTTTCTGTTCCCATAAAGACTTAACGCCTCACAAACCCTATACATGGTCGATATGAATTTGAATTGGCTCAATGGCATAGCATACAACTACCACCAGCATCACTACAACCTACCTTGTTGTTGTTGTTGTTAAGTGCCATCGAGTAACCTACCTTAGGTCTTATTAAATTAATCCTAAAAGAAATTTCAATGGAAAAATACAATGACTTTTGCAATGACTAAGACAGAGTCAAACAGAAAACAAATAGAATTAATTTTCAAAGGAAAGCTATTTTACCTTCTACCTCTTCCCAATCATCTTCACTTTCATCTTCTTCACTGCTATCTTGGTCAATGGTAGCCTCTCTCTTTGGATTTTGTGCCTCCTTGAGAGCACTTGTAGAGTTTCTGTAGAAAGATCACAGGAAGAAAGATGAAAAGGGCTCCAAGATCCTAGTGTCACATTGATGGTAAAACCTTCTCACTACCATCAAGTCTATCCCACCTCACATAGCCCTACAGGACAGAGTACCCCCAAGACTTTCCAAGGCGGTGCAGCTTTATGGAAGCAGATGGTCACATCTTTCTCCTACTGAGAGACTGGGGAATTCAATCCATTGGCTGTTTGGTTAGCAGTTCATTTAAGCTAAAGGGAAGTTACAAAGCTTCTTGGTACTCTAGATCTGTCGCAATGATATAAAGATGGCTTGTGAGCTCAGAACCTTATTTCCTTCATCAACACAGGTCTCAAATGCTCAGTAAGATGTGCTCTGAACACCGGTCTAATACTAGGTATGCTGTCAAAATAAAAAAACACAATCTAAAATCTAGAGCTGAGTGAAGGAAAGCAAAGTTGTGCTTGGAAATGCTAAGGAAAATGTTCTGAAAACGCACACAGCAGTAATGTGAGTTCCAGAAGTAAAAGTTATGATGTGTGCATATACACGTCCAGTTGGAGGCCAGAAATAATTTTTATTTGCTGATCTTACTATGAGCCACGGGAGTACAGTGGCTCCATATGACAAGCACTGGACTGTGAACCATGTGATTGACGGTTTGAGCCTACCAGTTACTCCACAGAAGAAAGATGGAGCTTTCTGCTTCAGCAAAGATTTTTAGTCTCAGAAAAAGAATACAGGTTCCTATGAATCAAAACCAACTCGACGGCATGTAACAACAATCATGCACCAACTCAATTTGTTACTCATGTGAGAAATACAATTGCAGGTTACAGAAGAGGGGCTGTGATTACACACTTGTTAAGTGCCGTGCAGCTGGTTTCAACTGATAGCAACCCTGTATAGAGTTTCATAGGTCTGACATAAGTAATAATCGAAACTGGAAAACTAACTAGGTCTAAATAGGTAAAAACCTAAATATTGGCTCAAGACTAAATGGTGGGTAATATATATTTTAACAATGTATTTTTGAAATGTCATATATAAAGTGTTTAAAGTATTAAGTTACTTTTAGTTTTTAGAAGTGTTGGCAGCTGATATCAGTATGAAAATATTACATAAAATTTACAAGACATTTAAAATCCTCAGTCATTTCTTTTACATATAACACCATATTTCTCCTCAGAATAAACATAGTAGAAATATTCATATGTTATGAGGTTTAGCCAATGATACTGAAGGAAGAAGTTCAAATTCAAGGAATTGATAAAGAAGAAGGCACTGGGAATTCATGGAAAAAAAAACGAAATCATTCAGCAACGTGAGGTGGCACTGGAGGAACTCACTCGTTTATGCCAAGAAATCTGGAAGACAACTATCTGGTCAACTGTTGGGAAGAGATGTGTATTTGGGCCCATTCCAAAGAGAGGCGACCCAACAGAATGTGGAAATCATACGACAATCTCTTTGATATCCCATGCAAGTAAAGTTTTACTATAGGTAATACAGAAACAGCTGCAAGCATGCATTGACAGAGACCTTGCAGAGGTTAAAGTCGGATTCAGAAGAGGACATAGAATGAGGGATATCACTGCTGAAGTCCGATGGATCTTGGCTGAAGCAGAGAATATCAGAAAGATGTTTACCTGTGCTTTATTGACTATGCAAAGGCTTTCAATTGTGTGGATCTTGACAAGCTATGGACAACAGTGTAGAGTACGAGCATTCTGGAACACTTAATTGTGCTCATGAGGAACCTCTACATAGACCAAAAGGCAGTTGTTCGAACAAAACATGGAACACTGAATGGTTTAAAATTAGGAAAGGTGTGCGACAGGGTTGTATTCTTTCACCTACTTATTCAACCTGTATGCTGAGCAAATAATCTGAGAAACTGGGTTATATGAAGAAAAACGTGGTATCAGGATTGGAGGAAGACTATTAACAACCTGTAATATGCAGATGATACAACCTTGCTTGCTGAAAGTGAAGAGGACATAAAATATTAACTGATGAAGATCAAAGACCATAGCCTTCGGTATGGACTGCATCTCAACGTAAAGAAAACAAAAATCCTTACCACTGGACCAATAGGCAACATTCTTATCAATGGAAAAAAGATTAAAGTTGTCAAAGACTTCATTTTACTTGGATCAACCATCAACACTCACAGAAGCAGTAGTCAAGAAATCAAACGATATATTGCATTAGGCAAATCTGCTGCACAAGACCTTTGTAAAGTGTTGAAGAGCAAGGATGTCCTGAGGAATAAGGTACGTTTAACCTAAGCCATGGTATTTTCAATAACCTCATATGCATGTGGAAGCTGGACAATGAATAAGATGATAGAATTGATGCATTTGAGTTATGGTGTTGGAGAATATTCAAAGTACCATGGGCTGCCAAAAGAACAAACGGATCTGTGTTGGAAGAAGTGCAGCCAGAGCGCTCCTTGGAGGCCAGGATGGCCAAACTTCGTCTCTCATACTTTGGATATATTGTCAGGAGGGACCAGTCACTGGACAAGGATATCATGCTTGGTAAGATGGAGGGTTACAGAAAAAGAGGAAGACCCCCCTCAAGAGATATGCATTGGCAAAGTGGCAGCATCAATGGGCTCAAGTACAGCAACAAATGTGAAGATGACCCAGGACCAGATAGTGTTTCATTCTGTTGTGCACAGGGTCACTAGGAATCGGTATCAACTCGATGGCACCTAACAACAACAACAATGAGGTTTGGTCACAGTTAACTCTCAGTTGAGATGGGAAGGTAGACCCAAAGCTTTACCTGGAGCATCTGGTTTTACACACAGAAAATGCAACAAGTGAAGGGAGGCAAGTGGGAAGTAATCAGTGCAGAGGCAGGCATTCTGTACTGCAGTAGTGACAGAAGTCATCTGAATTCACAAGGAGAGAGGAGAATCAAGATCAGTACAAAACTGATTCCTCTGAGGCAACAGGCAAACATACCTCGACTCTCCGATTTTTTCACCAATTCTGGCACCAACCACCTTCCTCACAATGTTACTTCCTTGCTGGGTTCGATAACTTGTTGAAATGGCCACAGAGGACTAACAGATGAAACTTAATGATTATGTGGATTTAAGAAGTTATTTGGAAGTAATAGGAATAACTCAGGAGAGAAGATATAAGATACAGCCCATCAATTAAGACAGCTTCCAAGAGCGCTCTTAACTGCTTATCAGCCATGTGTAGTTGAGGTCCTTCACTCGGACTGATACTGCTAGGGCTACTGCCACTGAGCACCAATGGGCATCATCTCTGGTCTGCTCAGGCAAGTGTAGCAGCTCTTCTGGATCTGCTTGCAAATACCTGGAAGCATTCCATGCCACCATCAAGCCTCCTACCAAAAGGCACTCAGCTCTCTTTTTTTGGGTTTGGCAAACCCATTGCAACCGGTTTGTTCCATGAACCAAGAAGCCTACCACTACCATCTCGTCATGGTTTTCTGGTTCCCACCACTGCTGCTACTCACGCTGCTGCATCTCTATCACGTCGTCTCCAAAATTTAACTTGTTCCTCTGTCTAGCAGTTTCTCAGCACTGGGACCCTGGGCCGAAGGACACAGATTGCTTGGTAATAGTGAAGTCCCCCTCAACTTCTGTGGAACTGACCAATCCCCTATATAGGTCACAGTTACTTAATTTGCATAGCGATCAACCAATTCCCACAACAGTCTTACACACCTTATTTGCAAAGTAAACTGTCCAGTTCCTACAAGGAATGCAAAATAGATCAATCACAGAGCAGACTGATACCAGTCAATTATTTTTTGCAGAATTATAAATCCAAGGTCAGAAAGGCTGTGTGTACCAAGAAAACCACTGCACAACACAGTCTTAGGCAAAGTCCAGAGAAATGGAGGACAGATGAAGCAACATGGTAAATTCACAGGCTTGTTCATACTGCTTTCTACTACTGCCCTCTATAAGCAAGATTCCTATGCCAGAACTAGTGAGGTTACTGGATTTATGCTAGGCTGTGAGGATTTCTTTGTAGAGTAAGGAAGAAGGCAGGTAATCAGGCGCCTATTAGGCTTATATTCATAGTTCAATGCTAATAAAAATGTTCATTCATTGTAATACTGATTTTTCTCAGTTTCTATCAAAGTAAAAGCTCCTTCTCTAGATATTATAGAGTACATAAAAATAAGCCAGGTATGTATAGAGCAGTGATACATATATTATGTACATAAAAAGAGTAATACCAGGTAGACAGACTGCTATACTCTTCAGGAATGCTGTAAGAAATCAGTGGAAGATAGGGGACGAGTCAATGAAAATATTCTTATAGTAGGTGGCTTCAAATCTCCCATTTTCAAGGTAGAAGAAAACAGCTCAGGTAGGAGGAACAATATGAGTACAACTTAGGGGTAGTAAAGTATGAGAATATGTTGGGTGAATGATGAGAAGTCCAACTGCACAGGAACCAAGTATATGAGATAACGGAGAGTATGTGAGATAAAGCTGGAAAGGTATGCATTTACATATAACTCTTTGTGTAATAGATCAGGAGTCAGAAAACCTGGATTCTAACCTGAAAATGCCACTATCTAGCTGTGTGTGTTCTTGTTGTTGTTAAGTGCTGGCAAGTAGGCTCCAACTCAGTGACCCTGTATAGGGTTTCCAAAGAGTAACTGGTGAGTTTGTACTCATGTTTATGCTATAAATCACTTTCTTGAGGTTTTCACTGTCCTCATCTGGACAGTTTAGGAGGTAAACTACAGAATCACTAAGTTTCTTTCCAGTTCTTAATGGGCTGAGTTCTTTGTCTAGAAGATTTATAGAACCTATTTTTTCCACAGATCTCAGTGATAAGCAGAGAGAGCACATTTCTACATTTCTGATGAGAATTACCAAGACTTGTCAAAGCTTTTCAGCCATCTCACCTGAAATCTTCCCCATCACTAAGGACTTCATCCTTTATAACCGTGAGGTGACTTGATTTAACTGTCCGCTTGGCCACTTTCTTCTTTGATGGACCATCATTGGCTGGGCCTCCAGGATCACTGCAGCCTTTCATCCTCTTTCTTTGTGATACTTTGGTAAGAAGGATCCTCTTTGGGGGTTTCTCATCAAGGACATCTGGGTGACCAATGGAACAGGTGGAATGATAAGCAAGGTATAGGCAGCCTCATTTAATGGCCAAGATCATTAAAAAGTCATCTTCTATAACCTCTCTCTCCAAACTCTATCTTCATCATCAATTTATAACAACTGCTTCTCAGACCCTTCCCCCCTTTGGTTTAGTCTATGTTCACATTAAAATCCATTTACTTTAATCAGTATTTTATCCTACTCATCTGAGCCCTGTATGACTCAAATAAAAGCTAACATTCATATCTCAAATTTCAGCAAATCTCTGGTAAGGAAAAAGCATGAAATTGTTATCCCCTTCTTAGATACAGCCTGCCAAGAACAATTATTTGCTTTACAAATCATTCCTATTAAGTGAAAAGGAGTCCTGGTGTGGCATGGTGGGCTAATGCATCATCAGACAGCAAAGTCATTTGAACTGGAATGTCGGTAGTTTGAGCTCACCAGGTCAGGTGCTTCTTGGAAACCCTATACAGCGTCACTGTGAGTCAGAATCGACTCGACAGCACTTCAAAACAACAATAACATTAAGTGAAATATTTCAAGTTTGTAAACATGCTCATGTTTTACCACACCTTATTTCCAATAAAAAATTCAAAAATAATTTCATTTTCTTAAAATAATTATGATTATACTTGTTGTTGCTATTGTTAAGTGCCATTGAGTCAGTTCCAATGCACAGTGACTCTGTACAGAGTCTGCGAGGAGCAGCTGGTGAGTTTGAACCACCAACCATGAAGTTCTAAGCAATGTTGAGATCCAGTGCATTATTCTGCAGTGCTACACCACGAGTCCTGAAGGAAAATATTTAAAAAGTGAACCACCACAAGTGAGGGATAACAGCAATGAAGTAGTGAGCTAAGCCCTACAATGTTCAATAGACTTCTGTGAACCCGGGTGAAGACCTGGTTGACCACCAGTGAAGCAAAACCTGGGAACTCTTGGGCCCAGAGTCAGTGACATAGCCACAAAGGACCAGAGTGGAGAGTGAAGCATCCAGCTGATAAGAAGAGAGGGCATATGCATAAGAACACCCACACTTGCAGATAATACCCATTTATCCTAGCTTCAGTGACTCGATGATCAGAGCTCAACCAGAAGTAAAAAGAGGAAAAAAAAAGTATTCTCATACAATTTGATGAACTTGACCGACACCTATGGAAGCAGTAGCTCAAAAGAGGGAACAAGTCCTTACAACAAGAATCATTCCCACCCCCTCCACACACAGAGTAGACAGGGATGGGCAACTTGGATATTGGCTACCCGAAATGGGGGGCGGGCTACAAAGGCAAGAAGTGACTGGCTTACAAGCTTTCAAGAGGGAACCTAGATCCAGAGGGCATGGAGGAAGGTAGAATCTCTAGTGAGTAGTATTCAATCTGACTAGGTAGGGCTGATGCAATGAAATGCAGATGGGTCTCTTGTGATACAATAGTGAATAATTGTTATCAGGACTGATTGTGAGGGTTGGAAATGTAAAGGTAGACATTTTAAAGCAAGGAGGGGAGTAATTAACTTTTCAGTCTAGGAGCGGAGGTCCCTAGGACCATCAATGGAGAAGAGCAGAGAGCGGGACCCTACCCAGAGAAGCAGTGATGCCTGAAATGGAGCCAAAGATGATGAAGTGAAGAGATGGAGCAGCTGGAGACTTTAGATCCAGAGAAGGAGAGCGACTGTGTGCTGAAGACCTGGGGGGTACAGGGGAAGGACTGCATGGAGGGGATTGTAACCATGGCAATGAGGCAAACCACCACTGAAACTGCTGCCCTGAGATAATGTTTAAATCCTGATGTCTCCTTAAAAAAATCATTTAACTTTACCTAGTAATTACACCAAGCATCCCTGGCAGCACTGTAGGCTAGTGTTGGACTGCTAATCACAAGTAGTGATTCAAAACCACCAGCTGTTTCTTGGAAAAAGGACAGGCTGTGTGCTTCTGGAAAGACTTCTGGTTTTGGAAACACTATATAGGGGCGCTATGAGTCAGAACTGACTCACTGACAGTGGGCTTGGTTTTGCTTTAGTAATGAGACCAGAACTAGATGGTGCCTGGTTTCCATTACCTACTGCTTTGAATGGGATCACATTAGAAGGTCCTGAATAGAGTGAGAGAAAAATATGGGACAAAACTCAAAAACTCATGAAACATAAACAAAAAGACCAGGCTTACTGGCCATAGAAAGCCTGATGGAACCCACACGACTATGGGCCTTTAATTACCCTTCCGGTATGGACATGAACTCACGCCATGGCTCAAATTTCAAACAAACAAACAACAGATAGGGCCATATGGGGAACAAAAACACTAATAAGGTATGCACATTTCAAAATAAACAGCAACTTGAAATACAAAGCTTAGCATTTACCCAAAGAGTAGGTTCAGGAGAAATGGAAACAGGATACCCAGGGAGGAAGTGGGCTAAGTGCTGGTACATTCTGAGGACAACAACTAATGCCATAGAATAAAACGTGCATCAAGTGTTGTGTGGAAAACTAATCTGCTCTTTAAATCTTCATCTAACTCACAACAAAAAGTTTAAAAAAATATACAGAATAAATAAAAAATTTAAATACTATGCTGCTTTACATTGGAATGAGTTAATTCTTAACAACTGATTTATAAGTAATGAAGCAAAGAAGGATATTATTCTACTTTCCAAATACACTCACTGTAATAGTCATGGATCCAAAACACATCATCATTCCTTTGCCTTTGCATGAGTCTGCTTCAAGTAATTTTGAAGTGTAAAAATATCCTAGCTTTTCCCAAAGAAATGTTACTCTAAAATATCAACTAAAATATCAAATTCATTTATTCCTTTCACTTATGATTTGTCTTGTGTATGCATGGGGGGGGGGTAAGAGACTCTCCTTTATAATCTAAATATAATAATAATTTCAATTAAGTTCACAGTATAGGGCAGTATGACACTATAGGATAAGCACTGGATTGCTAACTTCTTGGTCGTTTGTTTGAGCTACTGTTTCTTGTTTCTGCATGTGAACAGAGATTTTCTGTTTTTTAGGCATTGTGTTGTTGTATTTGTATTAATTTGATGAATGTTCTTAAGCAAACTCCAATTGCCTTCTGGTAGAGGGTTTTTCTGTTTAATGCTCTTATAGCTCTCTTCAGAGTGTCTTTAGTGGGTGCTGGTTTTAGACACTGCTCTGTTGTATAGCAGCTGGCACTGGATCTTGCCCTATTGGTTGGGTTTTACAGGGTTGCAATTGTAACTTGGCTGTATGGTCACAGTTGTTGTCTTGTCAGGTGAGGCACAAAGAGAGAAACTCTCGCACACACACATAAAAGGTCACATTCAAGGCTCAACACCAAAGTCAAATGTCATAAAAACCCATGAAAAAAATATATGTAAAGCTAGGAAACCCAGAAAAAATGAACAGATCAAGAAAAATAGTGGGGAAATATGATCAATTCTTCAGTGCCATCTAATGGACTCTTGCCGTCAAAGCCGACTGAGAAATTCCATGCTGTTCCCACTGTGCCAGGCCTTTTTTCCTCTCCCTCGAAGTCCATTTATTGGTCTTTCCTAGTGAGAACCAGCCCAGGGCTGACCAGATCTGATTTGGAAGAGACTCCTAAATCAGTTTCTGTCTTTGGTCTCCTGCACCTGCTGCAAATCCTTCCCTGGAGCAGCACAGAACCATGTCGACAAAGTACGGACTATGTCTGGCCATCCTGGCTTCTAACAAGCATTCTGGCTTTCCAACACAAATTTGTTTGTCCTAGTCGTCCACAGTTTCTGTGATATTCTTCTCTAACACCATAACTCAAATGCATAACTTCGTCAATGGTCTTCCTTAGTCACTGTGCAACTTTCATCTGCATATGAGGCTATTGAAAATACCATGACACAGTTTAGTCCTCAAACTGGTATCTTTGCTCTTGAACACTTTAAAGAGGTCTTCTGCAACAGATTTGCCTAATATGCTATGTCATTTGATTTCCTGACTGCTGCATTCATGAGTGTTGATTATAGATGCAAGCAAACTGAATTCTTTGGCAACTTCAATCTTTTCTCCATTTATCATGTTATTTATTGATCCAATGGTGAGGATTTTTGTTTGCAACCCATATGAAGACTGTAGTCTTTAATTCTTAACAGTAAGTATTTTCAGTCCTCTTTGCTTTCAACAAGCAAAGATGTATCACCTGCAAATTGCAGGTTGTTAATGAACCTCCCTCCAATCCTGATGCCACATTCTTCTTTATATAACCCAGCTTCTTGGATTATTTGCTCAACATGCAGACTGAATAAGTATGGTGAAAGAATACAACCATGGCGCAAACTTTCCCTGATTTTTAACCATTCTTTGCACCCTTGCTCTGTTCGAATGACTTTCTCTCCTATGTATAGATGAGCAGGATTAAGTGTTCCAAAATACTTATTCTCCATAGTGTTGCCCATAGCCTGTCATGATGCACACAGTTAAGCTTTGTAAAGTCAATAATGCACAGGTAATTTATCTTTCTGTTATTCTCCGTTTTCAGTCAAGAACCATCTGATGTCTGCAATGGTAGCTCTCATTCCACGTCCTCAACGGAACCCAGCTAGAACCTCTGGCAGTTCCCTGTCAATCTACTGTTGCAACAGTCTTTGAATTACCTTTAGTAAAATTTTACTTGCATGTGATATCGATATTGTCTTGATTTCTGCATTTTGTTGGGTAACCTCTCTTTGGAATTTGTCAAATACTGATCTTTTCCAGTCAGTTGGCCACATATGTCTTTCAAATTTCTTGGCATGGATAAGGGAATGCGTCCAGTGCTGCTTCAGTTTCAAACATTTCAATTTGTATTCTATCAATTCCTGGAGACTTGTTCTTTGCCAATGCCTTAAATGCACACTAGACTTCTTCCTTCAGTACCACTGGCTCTTGATCATATGCTACCTCTTGAAATGGTTAAACAGTGACCATTTCTTTTTGGTATAGTAACTGTGTATTCTTTCCATCTTCTTTTGATGCTTTCTGCATCATTCAGTATTATGCCCAAAGAACCCCTCAGTATTTCAAGTTGAGGCTTAAATCTTTTTCTTCAGTTCTTTCAGCTTGAGAAATGCTGAGCATGTTCTTTTCTTTTCTTTTTCTAACTCCAGATGTTTGCACATTTCATTATAATATTTGCCCTTTGAAAATTTCTGTTCAGTTCTTTTACCTCATTCATTTCTTCTATTAGCTTTAGTATCTAGCCATATTATTCCATTCTGTGATGTACTACTATATACCTTAGCTTCTCTGCCTATAATGGAGTATGGAGTTTGTAGGATAATCACCAAACTGACAAAGTTGACAGTCCAAACCCACCAACTACTCTCAGAAACCCACAGTGCCACTCCAGGACTCACGACAGATATTTATCTCTGCTTTATTAACTACACAAAGGCTGTCAACTGTGTGGATCAAGACAAGCTATAGACAACACTGTGAAGAATGTGTATTGCAGAGCATTTAATCACCTTAATGGGGAACCTGTACATAGCATGTCTTCGAACAGAACAAGGGGACAACAAAAAGTTTTAAATTAGGAAAGGTGTGCAACTAAGGCTGAATTCTTTCACCATATTTACTCAGTCTATATGCTGAGCAAATAACCAAGCTGAATTATATGAAGAAGAATGTGGCATCGGATTGGAAGAAGGCTCATTAACAACCTGCAATATGCAGATGATATAAATTTGCTTGCTGTAAGTGAAGAGGATTTAAAAATACTTACTGATGAAGATCAAAGACCACAGCCTTCAGTACTGGTTGTACCTCAATGTAAGGATAACAAAAATTCTCACCACTGGACCAATAAATAACATCATGATTAATGGAGAAAAGATTGAAGTTGGCAAAAACCTTAGTATGGTTGGATCCACCATAACACTCATGGAAGCAGCAGTCAAAAAATCATACAACATGTCGCATTAGGCACATCTGCTGCACAAGACCTCTTTCAAGTGTTCAAGAGCAAAGATGTCAGCTTGAGGTCCATATGCCTGACCCAAGCCAAGGTATTTTCAGCAGCCTCAAATGCATGTGAAAGCTGAACAATGCATATGGGAGACCGTAGACGATCTGAAGCATTTAAAAGTTATGGTGTTAGAGAAGAGTATTAAAGGTACCATGGTCTACCAGAAAACAAGCAAATTTGTGCTGGAAGAAGCACAATCACAATGCTTGTTAGAAGCCAAGACGGCCAGACTTAGTCTCTCCTACTGTGGATGTGTTGTCAGGAGGGATCAGTTACTGGAGAAGGACATCATGCTTGGTAAACTGGAGTGACAGCAGAAAAAGTGGAAGATTCCCAATGAGATGGATTGGCACAGTGACAACCACAACGGGTTCAAGAGAGGCAGCAATTGTGAAGATGGCGCAGGACATGGTCCTTTGCAGTTCTGCTGTACACAGGGTCACTATGGGCTGGCACCAACTTGAGGGCACCTAACAAGAGTGGCAAGAACTAAGGATTAAAGCGGGACTTTGTTGTAAAGTGCTGTAGAGTTGGTTGTGACTCATATGGACTCTATATAGGGTTTCCAAAGAGCAGCTGGTAGGTTTGAACTACCTACATTGTGGTTTACAGTCCACGGCTGATCCTACAGCAGCACATGAAAGATGAAAAAATCCTGGTTTGGTGCTACAGGTTAAGCATTACATTGGTTAGCAGTTCAAAGCCACTAGCACACCTCAGAAACCTCAGGGTCACTATGAGCTGCAACTGACTTGACAGCACTTTATAATGACAAGGATTAAGGATACCCCAACCTTATAAGGGAGTCCTGGTGTGGTGCTGTGGTTTGATGCGCCAGACTGCAAAACCAGTTAAACTGCAAGGTTGGCGATTCAAGCTCACCAGCTGCTCGTTGGAAACCCTATACAGGGTCACTATGGGTCAGAACTGACTCGATGGCACTTAACAACAACAACAACATGGGTAGATATATGGATAAATACTGGTGGAATCCAAGAATAGGACCCTTGAAGACTCTTCAGATCTGGAACTTAATTCATTCCCATGCTCAATTTCCAGTCAAGCAGTAGATGGATATATAAGACGACCACAAGCTAGGAGATATGCACACAATGCAGTGAGTGGTCAATCATTCAAGATCAAAAAGGCAGCAATGACCTAACAACAAAATTCAGAAGGGTTGGCAAAAAGGTTGAATGGTAACAAGAAGCGTAGGGAGGATGTTTTTGTTCCCTATCATAGAGCTGGTTCCTACTCATAGCGACCCTGCATAGGGTTTCCGAGGCTATAAATCTTTGTTGTTGTTATTATTAAGTGCCTTCGAGTCGGTTCCGACCCATAGCGACCCTGAACAGGGTTTCCGAGGCTGTAAATCTTTACAGGAGCAGAAAGCCTCATCTTTCTCCTGTGGAACAGCTGGTTGTTCCTTACTGCTGACCGTAACGTTCATAGCTGATTTCGTAACCACTAAGCTACCACAAGAAGGATGTAGGATAACTGATAGTACATTCTAAGTATTGAAATCACGAAAATAAAACTAAGTATGTGATTTGTTGAATGTAAAAATGATGATTTGCTCTGTAACCCTTCACTAGATTCACAATAAAAAGCCAAAAAAAAAAAAAAAAAAAAAAACGAAGAAAAGGAGAAAGGGATCATTTGAAATGGAAAAAATTGGGGAAGGGTTAAATTTAAATGGGAAATTCAAGAGTTTTGGTTTGCCCATAAAAACTGTCAGAAGTCTGTTAATATTCAATAGCTTGGTGGAGAAGTTATGCCTGGAATTCAGGTGACATGGTGCATAGCTGCAGATGATAATTTGCAAGCCAGCATCCTATAAAGTCTTCTACCTCAGGGTCCGTCCTCTGTCGACAAACACAACATAACCGCATTGTCTCGTCCCCATTTGACCCTGAGCATCGGCAAGGAAACTGGACTTTATCCTGCGAGTAACATGGAACGCTGAAGGAAAGCTCTTCGTCAGTGCACCTCGGAGGGGAAGGGCTCCGGGGCTAACACATTCTTGGTGAGGAGGAAAGGCAGAGGAAAGTCGGGGAAGCCCAGACAAGTGAAAACCACCATCTAGTGGGCTCCGCCTCCCTCCCTATCCTCCCTCCAGGCCGTCTCACGCACTGTCCGGTTCGGCCTCCCGCTCCCCCGCAACATCTCTCCCTTCATCCCAGGTGGCTCTTTCTCTCACCCTGCTCCTCCTTCACACACCCGACCGGGTTCTGTGCGCGTGATTCCCTTGGCCGGCGCTTTCCACGTCTTGCAACCATATCGACGAGTGAGTTTACGCCTGAGCTTGAGCTTTGGACAACTACCGTGGGCGGACTCTGCCCCAGTCCCGAACTTCAGGAAGCAAAAGAAACAAACCAGCTATTTCTACTTCCGGTGTATTGCGTCCTCGCGATTAAGGAGACCGGATGTAAGACTGTTCTCGCGAGATGAGGGAAAGGGCGCAGGGTTTGAAACATGGCGGACGACGTGGACCAGGTGAGAGTGAACTGTGGATCTCGCTTCCGTACGATTTTTCATTCCCAGCACTGGCTCTGTTAAGCTTCTCGTAACTGAGCTGCATTTTCCAAGATCTCTAGAAAATTATTTATCGTGCCGTTTATGGCGGGTCCTCACGGCTAACCTACCTTCTTTTCCTCGTAACCACACACCTTATGAATAATCTGTGTTGTTAAGCGCCTTGGAGTCGGTTCCGTGCATTCTCTGACAGCGCCAACCCAGACTCCTATGAATCACCTCTAGGCCCCTAGGTATTGCCCTGTTTGAAGCCTTCGTGCCCACTCGTCACTTCCTTTCGAGTCTCCCCTTTATCTGTAGAATGGGAATAACAGCCCCTGTCTGTTTTCTGGAGCTATCGGGATTCCGATGGAAAGTATGGCAATAAAGTTTGTTATTGAGCGTAATAATTATTTACTCATTCAACAAAAACAGATACTGTTCTAGATAACAGGGAAACCACCATTAACATATGCGATCCAACCCCGCTTGAAGTTTAAACTGTTTAGGTTTTGAGGGAGCAGAGTTAATCTGTGCAGCCATGAGGATTTTGCTGGATTGTTGTTATTGCTATGTGCCATAGAGTCGGTTCCGACTCATAGTGACCCTGT